GCTGGATTCCCATATGTCGGACTATGGTTTGAGTCCCAGACCTGGCGATTTGCTTTCTCGCTTTCCTTTTCTCCCTCTCTGTCTCTCTTTGATCAAATTATAAAATAATAAGAACAAATATAATTTAAAATAAATAAATAATTATAAGAAATTATTTATTTAATTTAATTTATTTATTCATTCATTTATTTTAATTTGACCAGAGAGCTAGAGAGATGGAAAGCAAGACAGCAAGCCACCAGGTCCAGGACTCGAACTGTTGTCAGCTATGTGGGAGTGTCCAGCACCTTAACCACCATGCCACCTGCTGGTCCCTAAATAAATAATTCTTTGAAAAAAAGTTTCCTTAGGAGGGCCAGCAGCAGGTGTGGTGGTTAAGGCACTGGACACTCCCACATAGCTGACAATGGTTTGAGTCCTGGACCTGGTGGCTTGCCTTCTCACATTCACTCTCTCCCTCTGTGTCTCTGTGGTGAGCATACATGCCCTATAGCAAATTAAATAATAATACTAATAATAATAAATTAAATTCTTAAAGTTTTCTTAAGAATGGCATGAACTTGCTGATGATAATTGATCTAGTAATATCTTTGACTTGACTGACATGCATGGTAATTGTGTTGGAAAACAAATGTTGTTACATGTAAAGACGTCATTAAATGTAAATAAATCTTAAAAAATTAAATAAATAAAATGACATAGATTTTTAAAAACTGAAAAGTAGTTTAGGTAGGGCCAGCAGGTGGCATGGAGTTTAAGGTGCTAGATTCTACAAGACTAGCTTTGCAGTTCATATCCCAGACCCGGCGGCATGAGAATCAAGCCAGTCATGGGATCCAGCAGGATGTATGGTAGTTAGGGCACTGGACTCTCATATGGCTGACCATGGTTCGAGTCCTGGACCTGATGGCTTGTTTTCTCACTTTCCCTTTCTCACTCTGGTCAAATTAAAATAATAATAATAATAATAACAAATAAAATTAAATAGATAGATAATTCCGACCCGGCGGCATGAGAATCAAGCCAGTCATGGGATCCAGCAGGATGTATGGTAGTTAGGGCACTGGACTCTCATATGGCTGACCATGGTTCGAGTCCTGGACCTGATGGCTTGTTTTCTCACTTTCCCTTTCTCACTCTGGTCAAATTAAAATAATAATAATAATAATAACAAATAAAATTAAATAGATAGATAATTCCTTTTTTAAAGAATTATTTATTTAGCTTTATTTATTCATTCTTTTATTTTTAATTTGACCAGAGATAGACAGAGAGAGAGAGAGAGAAGGAAAGTGAGACAGCAAGCCACCAGGTCCGGGATTTGAACCATGATCATCCATATGGGAGTGTCCAGCCCCTTAACCACCACACCACCTGCTAGTCCCAATAGATAAATTAAAAAAAAAAAAGAATTATTAATTTAATTTTATTCATTCATTTATTTTAATCTGACCAGAGAGAGAGAGAGACACACACACATACACACAGAGAGCGAGAGCGAGAGATAGATAGATAATTCTTTAAAAAGAAAAAGAAAGAAAAAAGAATCAAGCCAGACATGAATGTATCTGTACCCAAAATCCTGAGAGAATGGGGAAGAGATTGAGGTATGACCATACCCCCTGGAAGGTAATTTCTCACTTTTCCTCTTTCTCTGATGAGCACATGTGCCCTGTACCAAAACCAAAACACACAAAAATCTCTGATAGAAACAGTATGATGGGGACCAGCAGATGGCATAATGGTTATGTCACCTGACTCCCACGTAGTTTACTATGGTTCAAGTCCTGGACCCGACAGCTTAAACACATGCTGGGCATGTGTGTGTGTGTTTGTGTGTGTGTGTCCCCAAAATCCCTAGAGGAGAATGGAGGAGAAGGGATTGTGGTGTGGTCATCACCCCAGGGGGTGATTTCTCACTTTCTGTCTCTCTGTATCTTTCTGTCTCTCCAGTGAGCATATGTGCTCTATAGCAAAAAATCTCTCTCTAAAAAAAAAGAAACAGTATGATCAAGAAATTTCATAATTGGGACCAGCAGTTAGTGTAATGGCTATGTCGCTGGACTCCCACGTAGTTGACCGCAGTTCGCGTCCCAGACCCGGTGACTTAAAACTCATGCCAGGCGCATGTGCGTGCATGCCCAAGATCCCGAGAGGAGAATGGAGAAGGGATTTTGGCGTGACCATCCCCCCTGGGGGGTGATTTCCTGCTTTCTGTCTCTCTGTCTTACTCTGTCTGGCGAGTGCACACGCCCTATAGCGAAAACCTCTCAAAAGAAAACCAAAAAACAAAAAAAACCAAGAAATTTCATAATTCCATATTATATTACTTTAATTTTTTTTTTTCCACAGAGTGTGTGCATTCACTAGGGGGAGACAAAAAGTAGAAGAAGGAAAGCAGGAAATCATGCTCCATAAAGCTTGGTCACACTACAGTCCCTTCTCCCATTTTACTTTGGTATTTGCTTTTCAAACCACTATGTCCAGGATTCAGTTCATGCAGTCAACCATATACAATGTGGCTGCCTTAATTATTGCACCACCAATTGGCCTTACCACTGTTTTGATAATACCTAAGGTCAAGTACTCTTCTAGGGTATTCTACACACTTTCCCAGAAAATGGTAAAAATGTGCTTGTATTATTTATTCTTTAATAATTATTACTAATAACTTTTAAAAAATATTTAATTTTATTTACTGATTATTATTCTTCAATTTGACCAGAGAGAGAGAGGGAGAGTGAGAGAGAGGGAGGGAATGAGGTAGAGTGAGAAAGCAAACCCCCAGGTCTGGAGTTCAAGCTATTGCTAACCGTGTGGGAGTCCAGCGCCTGAACCACCACACCACCTGCTAACTCCACTAATGACTTTTTAATGCATATTACAATTATTAATATGCTTCTCATTTTTCACAGAAATCACGTGGTCCAGAAACCCTGCGAAACTAAACAAAGTAACCAATTTGAAGAAACCTTCAGTCAGACTCCAAATCTTAAATCGAACAGGAAAACTTTTACTGGAAGAAAACCCTATGAATGTGTTGTGTGTGAAAAAGTCTATGTGTGTCATTCATCTCTTAAAAGGCATATGAGATCTCACACTGAACCCAAATTATATGGCTATAACAAATACGGAGAGAAGTCGTACGAGTGTAAGGAATGTGGAAAGACATTCAGCTTTCGAAGTTCATTTCGAATCCATGAAAGAACTCACACTGGCGAGAAACCCTATAAATGTAAACAATGTGGTAAGGCTTTTAGTTGGCCCAGTTCCTTTCAAATCCATGAAAGAACTCATACCGGTGAGAAACCGTATGAATGTAAGGAGTGTGGGAAAGCCTTCATTTATCACACGACCTTTCGAGGACACATGAGGATGCATACTGGAGAAAAACCGTATAAGTGTAAAGAATGTGGGAAAACCTTTAGTCACCCCAGTTCATTTAGAAACCATGAAAGAACACACTCTGGAGAGAAACCCTACGAATGTAAACAGTGTGGGAAAGCTTTTACCTATTACCAGACATTTCAAATTCATGAAAGAACTCACACTGGAGAGAAACCCTATCAGTGTAAGCAGTGTGGCAAAGCTCTCAGTTGTCCCACATCCTTTCGAAGTCACGAAAGGATTCACACTGGAGAAAAACCCTACAAATGTAGAAAATGTGGTAAGGCCTTCAGTTTTCCCAGTTCCTTTAGAAAACATGAAAGAATTCATACTGGAGAGAAGCCCTATGATTGTAAGGAATGTGGGAAAGCCTTTATCTCTCTTCCAAGCTTTCGAAGACACATGATCATGCATACTGGGAATGGACCCTATAAATGTAAGGAATGTGGGAAAGCCTTCGACTGTCCCAGCTCATTTCAAATTCATGAAAGAACTCACACTGGAGAGAAACCCTATGAATGTAAACAGTGTGGGAAAGCCTTCAGTTGTTCCAGTTCCTTTCGAATGCATGAAAGGACTCACACTGGAGAGAAACCCCATGAATGCAAACAATGTGGGAAAGCCTTCAGTTGTTCCAGTTCCGTTCGAATCCATCAAAGGACTCACACTGGAGAGAAACCCTATGAATGTAAACAGTGTGGGAAAGCCTTCAGTTGTTCCAGTTCCTTTCGAATGCATGAAAGAATTCACACAGGAGAGAAACCCTACGAATGTAAACAGTGCGGCAAAGCCTTTAGCTTTTCCAGTTCCTTCCGAATGCACGAAAGAACCCACACCGGAGAAAAACCCTATGAATGTAAACAGTGTGGGAAGGCCTTCAGTTGTTCCAGTTCTTTTCGAATGCACGAGAGGACTCACACTGGAGAGAAACCCTATGAATGTAAGCAGTGTGGGAAGGCCTTCAGTTGCTCCAGTTCTATCCGAATACATGAGAGGACTCACACTGGAGAGAAACCCTATGAATGTAAGCAGTGTGGGAAGGCCTTTAGTTGTTCTAGTTCAGTTCGAATGCATGAAAGGACTCACAGTGGCGAGAAACCCTATGAATGTAAACAATGTGATAAAGCCTTTAGTTGCTCCCGTTCCTTTCGAATCCATGAAAGAACTCACACTGGAGAGAAACCCTACAAATGTAAACAATGTGGAAAAGCCTTCAAGTGTTCCCGTTCCTTTCGAATACATGTAAAAACTCATACTGGAGAATAACCCTAGAACTCTAAGTAATGTGGCAAAACTTTCGTTTCTCCCATTTCCTGTAGAAGACATGAAAGGACTCTCATGGCAGAGAAACTCTTCTTTGTAAGAAGATTTCTACTTATTTAGGTGTGAATTCCAGAAAGACCTCATACTGGAGAGAGACCATAGTATTGTAAGCAGTGTGGGAAAGCCTTCATTGATCACGCAATCTTTCAAAGACACATGAGAATGCATGCTGAAGTGAAACTATTGATATATAAATGTAAAGTTTTTTTTTTAAACCTTCAGTTGTACCAAATCAATTGCAAGCCCTGAACAAAAGCACACTGAGAGCAACTCCTTGACAGTGAGCAACATGGAAACACCTTGTTTGATTTCTATTCTTACAAAACATGAGAATACACACTGGAAACAGACCCTAGGAAAGTGAAAAATAACAGAAAGTTTTCGATTTTAATAAACAGAAAACTCCCATGAAGAGAGATCTTATACATATAGATAATATGGAGAGGCCTAATCCAGATTCTTTTGTGTATACTATTCTAGAAAATGTGCAGTGTGGGAGAAATGTAATATATTGTATTCTTTATTAGTTGCCCAGTCTTTTTTTTTTAAGAATTATTTTATTTAACTATTTATTATTATTATTATGTTCTAATTTGATCAGAGAGAGAGAGAAAGAGAGGGAGAGAAAGTGAGAAAGCAAGCCACCAGGTCTGGAATTTGAATTGTGGTTGGCCATGTGTGAGTCCAGTGTCTTTAACCACCATACCACCTGCCAGCTCCAGTTGCCCATTCTTAAAAGTGTATTTCTGAACTACAGGTTTTTATTAATTGTTTTGCAAATAATCACCCAAGTGAGGTAATTTTTGTAAGCTCTCTTTAAGCTAGTACACAGGTTTAATACTGTTTTGCATTAGATCTGTTACACACTTTTTCTGATTGGAAGTCTGTTGGGTTCATGCCTCAGTTGAAGTGTCTTTCTTATATGCAATTTGGTTTAAGTTGTATATGGTTATTTCATTGCTCTATAAGGGTTTGGAATTCAAACTGTGGTCAACTGTGCATCATTGAAAAATGAAAAATTGGGATTTTCCTGTTGGATTCATGGGATATACTATAGGGTCATTGGAAAAATCATGATGTATTTTTTCTATGCAAAAATGCGTTATAACTTAATTATGATATAAATTCCATCCTACTGAAAGAAGCTTCTTTTGAGGGGAGTTGGGCAGAGGAGCCTTATTCAGTGTCCCATGCCAACAAATAGTTGTCATAAGTGTGTGAGTTTCATCAAACAATATACTCTCATTTGAGTCACTTTTATCTTTAGCTCTTTGATATCTGTCATTTCTTCTGGCTTTGGATACTAAATTTTGCATTAAGGAGACAGAACTGATAAAACAATATAACCTGGGGCTGGAAGGTGGCATGGTGGATAAGGCAGCTGAATTCCTATGTGCCTAAATGTGGTTCTAGTTCCTGACCCAGCAGCTTGAAAATCACGCTGGGCTCATGTGCATATGTGCCCAAAATCCCAAGAGGAGAATGGAGGAGAAGGAATTGCAGCATGGCTATCCCCCCTGGAAGGTCATTTCTCACTTTCCCTCTTTCTGTCTTTATCTCACTCTTCTCCAGCAAGTGCACACATGCTACAACAAAAACCTAAGAAAACAAAACAAAATACCAATATGACATAGAGTTGTAAATTGCTTTTCTACAATGTGTTAACATGGATAATGATCTCTTTCCTACAGGCTAATATTTTATGGTTCCATGTTATAATTCACAAATAGCTTACCTGAAGGAGATAAGGAAGGCCGATGTGATGGCTTTAGTCAAATTTTGTAGCCATCAGACAAGATAGATGGATGCATAGGGGCTTTGGAGATACCTGTGTCCACATTATTTAGCTAATGCTTTGGTCTTC